TGGCTTCTGGAGCTCTTGCTGAGGTGGGCTTCTTATGGTGGTGTTTTCTTTCAAAGGAATTGGCACTCTGCACCCTCATGAAGTTTGTGGAGTTGGAGGCGCGATATCCACTGATCAAAGCAGAGTGGAAGGGGAGCTTAACTTTTCCTCGTGAGCTTCTTAAGGTAAGCTGCAGAACCGAAAAGCTCCTCCTGTCAGTGACCTGGTGGCACCAGTGACCTCACGCACTTGCCCAGGACCAAAATGTCACGCCGGGAGTTTTTCAGTGGGAGGGCAGGGCGGTGTTCTAGAGAGAGCTTCTGCAACACCTGGAGCTTCTGTCCCAAGTGAGGTGACACCTGCAGGTGTGGGAGCAGCTGCCTTGTACAGGTTTGAGCTGGATTCCTGAGTGTTTGGGACGTGCCAGTTCTGGGGAGTTTTTTTGGAGCCCCAGGTCTTGCTTTCAGGGACGAGGAGGTGAGAGGGAAGGTGCTGCCCCAGGTGAGGTCACCGTGTCATTTCTCAATGATGTTGTGTTTGATAGAGGGGGCCTGTCCCAGGTCAGAAGGGCTTGTGAGTGTTGCTCTGAGGCAGGCAGCACGCAGCCGTGCTAGCCAGCTTCAGCCCACGCAGCTCGCTCTCTGCTCCAGTACTGTAAGAGACTTACTTGTTGCTTTCCTTTACAAACGTTTTGTTAGGTAGTTGTTGATGGCTTACTCCCCTTAAATGAGGATGCTTCGCTCCTGATCTCTCGCTTTCAAGAATATATGGAGTACGATGACATTCGGTACTTTGTCATAAAGGCCGTCACTGAGAGTATTGGACAAGTCATGCAGAAGACAAAAGAGGTAACAAGTTGTTAATGCCGAGGTGGGTCTGGATAAATTGCTTTGGAATGTGTTTGGTGTGAAGCAGGGAGGAACTAGTGGTATATGGAAAGACTTTGGAAGCAAGAGAAATTAGTGTGCTCACAAGAAGGCATTGATTTTTTTAAAATTTATTTATTTTTCTTGCTCACAATCTATGTCAATTATGCAAAGACTGTTCAGACTGAAATTGGGAGTAGTTTGAGGTGCACATACTGTTGCTGTTGAAAAACGTGGTGGAGTTCTAGCTTCTGTTTTAACCAAATCTCTGCAGTTCAGGGGGCACACACAGAACTTTTAATTCTGTTCTCTCTCTGGTCTTTAGTTGGTTCAGAGATAGATTTTGTGTTGGGCAAACAAATAAAACTCCAGGACTAGGCAGCAATAGAAAATACACCAGTATGGAGTTCAGCCATCAGCATTTTTCTTTTTCTTTGCTAAATATAGTCAGTGCTTGGGAAATAGGGCAGTATTCAAGTCCAGCATATTACTATCTGTTGTGGAACTTGCTTTGTGTTTGATTATGTGCTTTTTTTCTCAGAGGCCACTGCCATTTTACCAGCAGAATGTATTTTCCCTCATTTCACCCATTAACATGCCAAACAAGGAGAGTGACATGGTCAAATTTATAGTAAAACAAGGTAAGTAAGCGCCACATGATGAACTCAGTATGAAACGGAAAATCAGGTTTAGGATTTTTTTTTTTTTAATGTGTGTGAAGACTTTACTACAGTTTGCGAATGAAAAAAGTCTGTTTCTGAACTGTATTATAAAATCTGCATTCCTCAGTGTGCAGTGAGATCTGTCATGGCCATGTGTCCAGACAAGGACTTTGGCCCAAATTTTTAGGGTACCAAAGGACCAAGTGAAAAAGGGTCATCGTAATATTTTTAAACATCCATTTCAAGTTCAATATCTGTTTTCCCTTTCTTCTTAGATAACTGGGAGGAATTGAAAGTGTCCAAGCTGCAGGTAACTGTTTGTTTGGTGCTTCAGAGTTGAAATTTTGTCTACTTAAAATAAAGCTTTACCTACATCAATGTGTTTAACTTTCTGTTGTAATTCTGTTTCAAGGCACACAAGCAGGCGTTTGAAAAAATGTGGCTCAGTTTTCTGAAGCACAAGGTGAGTGTTGCTTCTGGCACTGATCTGCATCGCTTTCCAATTGCTGATCGGTAGAGACCGACTGGCCTCGCATGGAGCTCCTGGTGGGACCCCGCTGGGCTTTCAGTGTCAGATAAGAACAGCCCCGTCGCCATTTCTGCTGGACTGTTCTCCTGCCAGGAAATACGGTGTCGTGCACAGCCTGCTGCTGCTTCCTTCTCTCAGCCTTTTTTGCCTGCCTTAACCAAGTCTGCCTGTGAAGAATGATCTGCAGCGTAACAGCCTGTGCTCACCGACTGAAGGTTCTCGAGCCTTTTGGTGGTGCCTTTGCCCTCTGAGCTGTGATGACACTTTTTAGTCTCGAGCACCTACTTCTTTGAACGAACTTAATTTTGTCGGGTGTCACTTGTAAGCTCTCCCCTTTGGGAACTGTTGCTGCATGTCATTCTCTATTGTCCTGACACATTCCTTTTTGCTTGTGTGTTGCCTTTTTGAGCCGTGGGTTGCTGTTACTCTCCGAGTTCTCCTTGCAATGATCATTTCACTATATTGTTTTGTCCTTCGCAGCTACCCACTGGCCTTTACAAAAAAGTTCTTGTCATTCTGCATGACTGCATCCTGCCTTACATGAACGAGCCCACCCTCATGATCGATTTCTTGACGGTGGCCTATGGCATAGGTGAGTGAAAAGAGGCATTTTGTGCTTTGTGAGCCTCTGTGACACGTGTGTATGGGCTTGCAAGGGCTGCTGGATGCATCACCTCCACCTGGGGGATGACATAGGTGCACTTTTGGCTAGGGTAAAGCTCAGAAGCTGGTGCGAACTCTCTTGTCCCTGAAAGGGAGATGTTTTTACCTGTGTTTGTTAGTGGTGTTTCTCCTTCTTGAAGCATGGATTATATTCAAGGCTTTGGTAAGAGTGGAATACTGGAATGTTTTGAGTTCATCCAGCAGTGCTGATACCTGGCCTGCATCCAGACACAGCGTGGGCAGATTCCAACAGAAATGTCCTTTCTGAGGAGGCCTTTGCCTCCCAGTGTGGCTTTCTTGGCGGATTAGAGCAGCATGTTTGTCACTCAGTTCTTCAGAGCCTGTTCTAAAACACAGCTTAATCTTTCTAAGTAACTTGTGTGTGGTTTTAAATGAAATTGTATTACCTTACAGCCATTGTGCAGGTTCTAATTTGAGGTACTCTTCGTTTTGTGTTCCTTACCAGCAGGTTTTTTAATAGAAACAAGTTGAAGCAGGTATTTATTTTCTTACTGTGTTGATACCTGCCTGCTTTCTTACAGGTGGCGCAATCAGTCTTCTAGCCTTAAATGGATTATTTATTCTGATTCATCAGCATAACCTGTAAGTGAAAAGAGCATCTTGTTTAAAGGAACATTTTTTTTTTGTATTTATATCTTTATAGAAAGGAACTGAAATGGGTTCTACACATCTTCAGGCTTTAAAATTCCTCCATGGGAAAGCCAGGTTCTGCACAAGAGGCTCAGCTGCTTGGATGCTGAGCTCCTTTGATAGTCTGACCTTTTTTTCAGCTGAGCCTAAATACCCTTTCTCCAGACTGGGATTGCTCAGCACTTGAAAATCGATTTCCATTGATCTGATTGCGTAGGGAAGCCGTAGTCTTTGGTGTGCCTTTCACTGGATCCTCTGCTATTTGCAGTCAATGGACATAGCTTCACATCCGGAAAATGGCTGGGTACTGCAAGAGCCATAAATTCACCTTACAGCTTGTTTTCAAGGGGTGGCTGTGGAGAGGAGCCTAAGAAAGCTAAACAGCACAGCAGCGGTCTGGGCTAGTCTATAATGAAAGCACAGAAACATTTAGACACAGTATGCGTCACAAATGGATGTTATTCTTTTCTATTTTTTTTAACAGAGAATATCCTGACTTTTACAAAAAGCTGTACAGCCTTTTAGACCCTTCAATATATCACGTGAAGTACCGAGCCCGCTTTTTCCATTTGGCTGATCTGTTCTTATCTTCATCGTAAGTAGCATCTTTATTATGTGTGTTCCCCATATTTTCCTCCTGCTTTTCTCTTGGCCAGAGACTGTTCTTGAGCAGTCTCCCAAGTGTCTGGATATAATATATTCAGTGTGCCTACTGGATGACATTCATTTTTACCAAGAAAACTGAATCCAGGAGTGTTTTTGTAGTGTTCCATAATCTTTTGTGTGTTATTTTTAAAGATTTGCCACACAGACATGTATTTCAGAAAGTAAAAATGCAGTTCGTTATCTGAGTTTGATCTGCAAGTAATTATGGATGTATTTTGATCTGTATTCCACTTTGACTAAAAGTGGTGATTCTTCTGTCTGTCTATGAATATGGAAGAGTAACATTTGCGGGCTTTTTATAGATCGTACAGCTGTTGATAAATCGATGACCTTTTGCAGACATGCAACATGGAAACGTGGAGTGTTTGACAGCCTGTCGTGATGCTGTCAGTTGGTTGTACACAGGCAAGAAACTAGATAAGCAGCTGGTCACATAGTTTCCATCATATGGTATAAAATAACCCAAGAGTTACAATTTCCAGTTCAGCACTAGGCACTTAAGATCTCTTGTATTCCTGGTGTTCCTGGGAGAGAGTAACCAGATCTGACAGGTGGTGTCCTGTGGGGTGGCTTTGCTGAGCCTTGCAGCTGTGGCGAGCCGTGGGGCTGAAGGCTGAGTGGCTGAAAATTGTCATCTTTTATCCCAGCTCTTTTGACCCAAATAAAGTGCCTACGTGAGCTGGTTGCTATTAGAAATTTGCGTTTTTACCATAAAGAAAAATCCCACAACTGTCTTGCGCATTTACATTGCAGCAGCTTTATGTTCCCATTACCAGCTGCGCTGCTTCCTTTAGTCCTGGAAGCATTACGTAAATTTAGCACCGTGGCCTGTGTGTTAATTAAACCCATGAAACGACATAAGAAGAAGATAATTAAGGTTGCCTGGCCAGGCACTCGGAAGTTTATAAAAGGACTCACTGCAGAGTGCCGTGGGAATGCCCCACGTGGAAGAGCTGTGCTTGGCAGGTGCCTGGAGTGGTGCCACGCGTCTGGACTGAGTCACGCTGTGACTTGAGATTATTCACGCATTGAATGGAAATGCCCCCAGATTTGTTCCAGAGGGTGCACAAGACCCTACATTACTGCTTGGAACCAGGATTCTTAGAGCTTCTCTCTACTCCACAGCCCAAAAATATCTGAAGAGCCCCACTGATCTTTACCCTGACACGCTGTGTCGATTGGTGGTGCCAGGACTTTGACACGCTGTTTTTTCTGTTTCCGACAGCCACTTGCCGGCGTACCTGGTGGCCGCGTTTATCAAGCGCCTCTCCCGGCTGGCCCTGACTGCCCCTCCCGAGGCGCTGCTCATGGTCATCCCCTTCATCTGCAATCTCTTTCGGAGGCACCCCGCCTGCAGAGTGCTCGTGCACAGACCCCACGGGCCAGAAGGTACGAGAGAAGGTGGGCGGGGGAGCTTTATGTTAGGCCTTCAGAGAACAGAAAGAGTGGGATTCCTGGGAAGGAGGAAGGGAGATCCCAGTCTCGATTCTGAAGGTTAGAATGATCCTTCGATCCATTGAGTTTGTGGAAAGCTGGAAGGCTGGCTGTGAAGACCTCACAGTTGGCTCCCTTGCCTCTGTGATTCCCCAGGTGAAGACTGCTGTGAGGCTGACACACTGACCTAGGCTACTTCCATGTGCCGAAAGACTGGGGAGACTGTAACCAGACACTGAGCTTGTCTCGTTCAGCTCAAGACTATAAAGAAAGCAAATGCAGAAGCCAGAGCCCTCCTGAATTTGTGTCTGTAGTGTTTTTGTGTAGGTGGCCCTGCTAGGCCCTTGGCAGCCTCCTGAATTTTTACTTCATCTCTCTGTGATTTAACTGACCAGTGTTGAACATGAGTAGCGACTGTTGAAAGTTGCCTGAGATGCCCTTTGCGTCAGACTGTTCCAGTTCTTTGTGCCCTACATCCAGTGCTCTTTAAAAGTAGTATAGCACTGCCAGCAGTGACTCCTGGGTGGTGCTGGGATGTGTCAGCTTCTTCCTAAACCCTCAATGTCTTGGGAAGGAGCAGCTCTGGCTGCAGCACTTCTCTGGGTCTCTGTGTTTCCTTTGGGGTTACGTACATCACGCAGGAGGAATTAGCTCTGTATCTCCATTTACTTAGGCATGTCAGAAGATCCATATATTATGGAGGAGGAGGAGCCATCTGAAAGCCGGGCTTTGCAGAGCTCTCTCTGGGAGATTCAGGTATGTCAGCTAAAAAGGAACATCTGCATCTAGTATGGGTTTCTTCCACCCTTGCCGCTTCTTTGACACACGTTGGCAGTGAGCAGTCCCAATTACAAGAACCTGCTGCCATATGTCTTGCAAACGAGATGAGTTTCTGGCTGGTCTTTTACTCTGCGTCCTTTTCTATCCTGGCATGAGAGGCAAAGGATTCTGTACACTGGAGAAAACGGTACGTGCTAATTAGTAGGTGACTTGTGAGCACACATCTGACCGTGCCGCTGAAAAGTGTGCAGTTAACGGGTGAAACAGACTAAATAGCTGCAAATATATGAGTTTTTTAATTTGCTTTAGAGGGAAGAAAGGAACTTGCTGAGCACTGATGAAAATTAATTGGGTACAGATAGGTCATCCTGTAGAAATGGGTTTAAAAATGCTAGAGAAGATTGTAGCGTTCACCTTTCACCTGGAGCGTTTGTAGGATGGTGTTATGAAGGTTGAAATTGGTTCATTTACCACTGATGATTCTAAAACCTTAATGCCAGGATTATCAGTTTCCATTTAAATGCTACAAGGTTTTTGTGTAAGGGGTTGAAGCAGTAACAGCAACGTTGTGCAGGAAGCCCAGAGAGCAGGAGCTCAGCTGCAGCATCAGGGCTGTGGGTTATGTGTTGGAGGCGTGGCCTGTGGAGGAGTCTGTCTTCCTGGAGCTGGATGTGAACCAGGTGAGAGGGACCTTTGACATATTCAAAAGGCAGCTGAAATGCCCAGAGCTTTGTAGTAGCACAGCACAGAAAACTCGCCTCTGCCAGAATTCGATGTTTGCTGAAGATCTGACCAGCAAAGGGGCAGACACCTGTGTGGATGGATGTCTCCTACTTATTAGACCATCTCCTACTTGTCTTGCTTTTTGCAGTCTCTACAAAACCATTATCACCCAGATGTGGCCAAAGCGGCTGCTGTGCTGAACCAGTCGCTGTCTGAAATCGAGGATGACATATCGGGGCTGCTGGAGCTCTCGGCTTACGAGGTAGCGTTGTTGGGCCTTTGTGGATGATCAGAACCAGGCTGGTTCCTTGACACAATAGCTGTGACCTGTTCCATCAGCCGTGCTGCCGGGGAGGGAGCTAGACTGACTTCTGGTTACCCAGAGCCAAGGAAAACCAGGAAAATGTCTGTCAAATAGTGGAGCCTGAGGCCACACTAGTGACAGGGCTGGCTTTTTTATAAAAGGTTTATTTTCTGGATCTTTTAAGGGATTAGAGTGAGCAGTGCTATCAGCCAGGGTGAAGTGCTTGTACTGAGTTTTGCCAATATCTTCTTTTTTTTTCCTTGTAGCTTTTTGACAAAGAAGTAAAGAAAAAGGCTGTTGATGTGCCCCTGGAGTTTGAGCAAGTGCGAGGTCTATTTGGGAAGAAAAATGATATATTTGCGGAGCATTTCACTTTAGATTGATGTGATCTTTTATAAACACATCTGCCCAACTGACTGATTGTAGGGACGTACACAGAGCTCGACAGCTGCCCTCTAAGTATCTCCATGGGGTGAGAGCTGGACTGCTTGGGAAAGGTGCAACTTCCTTCAGTGACATTTGCCACGACCCAGGGGTGGACTTTCCTTTGTTTCTCCTGCTTGCATGCTGCCCCCTGGTATTTGGGAGGCATTTTTCCTCGGGGCAAGGTTTTCTGGACTTGTTCGTTGCTGGGATTCCAGTTGTTTTCTCCAAAGCTGCTGGTGCTGGCTGTGATCAGTGACTACATCGAGGGACAATCTTGCTGCCATTCGATGGGACTGAGAGGAATTGCGGTCTCTTGACTACTGCTCTTATTTTTCAGATGTGTTACTTTTGTACTTGAGCCGACAACCTGTTTGTAGCAAGTGATTTCAATACAGAGCTCTAAACACCTGATATTTTAATTATATTTTTATATATATACTTATAAACATGTCTTCAGAGGGATGTTTAACTTCCTTTGTACTTGTCTTAACGCTCCCGCGTTCAAGGTACTGAAAGCTTTGGTTTGTCAAAAACAGCTCTTAGATGGTTCTCTGTAATTCTGTCTATGCTGTAAGGTTGCTTAATTCAAAATCCTCATGAGTTTTGGAAATGAGCATAATCCTGGTGACTGCCGTAGGTGAGCAGGCAAACTGTGCATTGGGAGGTGTGTCTAATCCTTGATTTTTGCTTCAGGGTGATAAGCAGCTTGATGCAGTTTTGCTTGCAGCCTGCAAGTGTTGTAGGAGCTCCAGCCAGTGTGTAATCCAGGTGATAATAAAGTTTTAAGTAGCCCGCTGATACTAGGTGGTTTTGTTAATTTGAATTTTTCATGTAGTTCCAGAAATCATGCAGAAACTCCTGATAAGTTTGGAGGGGTTTTCTTAGTTATTTTTGCCCTAAGGTTTGAAGTTTAAGATAAACTTCTTATTCAACTCAGGACTTTTTTTAAAAATTGTTTTCAACAACTTAATATTAACTTGTTAGACTTCAGCTCTGCTTGCATATTTTGAAATTCTAATTTGTGGAGGAGAAGAATACAGTCAAGAAAGTGAAGGCCAAGAAATCTGATTTCTGGCAGACAAGTCCAAGGAAGACTGCAGCTGTCTTGGAGGTACTATTATGTTTTCTTCGTCCAATTTTCTTCATGCTTTTCAAACAGTGGACATGTTCTCAGAGCATAGAGCTCTACCTCCTTTTTTTTTTTTTTTTTCCCCCTTTTTCCTGTTTTTAAAAGAAGTCTCACTCTTTGTTCTCTGGTGAAAAAGCAATCCTGGCCAGCCTGCTTTCCTTTTTTTCTTTGACTTCTGCTATCTGGTAGGAAGGAAGGCAGAGTGGCTGAGACTTAAAACTTGAGAAACCTCAGTTTAGGTTCACCCAAGTGTATTTCAGCTCTAAAATGTATCTCCCTATATCGAACGGACGTTGTATGTAGCGTTTGGTAAATGTTTTGAAGTGCTCTGATGCTCTAGTAATGAGGGCCACATAGCTACCTTTAAAAAACATCTGTATCATCTTTCACATTAAATGGATAAATATATTGAACAGAGAGATGAATGAATATATGTACAGAATACCTTTCTGTGCATCTTTTTTGTTTTACTCGGGAGTGTTAGGATTCTTTTTTTAATGTGCAAATGATGCAAGTCCAGGTCTCGTGGTGTTTAAAATGAGGGACTTTGGGGTCTTATTTGTGGACCGAGGATAAGCAGAGTCTTTCTGTCAACAAGGCATCCGAAGGCTGGATGAGGTGTGGGTGCCTGGCTGTCGTCTGAGGCCTCCTGGCACCAACCAAGGAGAGGCTTCGTGTGGGGCAGCTTGAGTTGAGGGGGAATAGTGGAAAGTAGCAGCTTCTGCCTTCTCTTGTGGCCTTCTGCTGCCATCTATCTCTGAAACCAAAGGACCACAGACTAAAATACCATCAGTACGTTTGGAAAAGGGATACTGCTGGAAATGGGGTGGTTTTTCTTTCTTCTGGGAGGAAGACTGTGAAGACACCAGCATCTTCAATGTTTCACCAGCCGTGGATCCCAAGTACTGTCCTGCAATTAATGGTGACTTGACTGTAGCAAAATGCAGTTTATTTTTTCAGGTACGCTCCCGGTGACCCATGTACTGACCGGTGCGTCTCCCACTGACATCGAGACAGAAGGTTAGGCTGATGAAATGTGTTCTCAGAGCTATCTGCGTATTTCAGTGCTGAGCTGGGAGCGCCGTTAGCACTTTGCTTAAAAGGACATGCAGCTGCCCTGGTGTGGCCTAGCAGCCACAGGCACAGCCCCGCTGTGCTCGGTGCAGACCAAACCTCAGACAGCTCGGAGGAATTTACAGCTTAAAGCCCGGTGCACTTTAGACGAGCCTTGAAGGTCTTGCAGAGGCTTCATCCCCCATCTCTGACGCTGCACTTGCCTAAGCAGCATTCTTAGACCAGCTCGGAGGTGGAGATAGCTTTAAGCTCCTGCCTGTCCTTGGAAAAAACACTCCACCTGGTCTTTCATCAGGCTTTTATCTTTAAACTTTCACCGCCCTACCCTCAATAGGAGGCATCAGGAAAAAATATCAGCGGTTATAAATATTAAAAGTTTCATCTGCGCCGAGTGAACAACCCTTATCAGGCTGCACACCCGCTGCTGCTGCTGCTCTACAGGTCTCCGCAGACTGCAGATTATAGATGCTTTAATCATGGTGTGTATTAACTGGAAGGCCAGATTGAAGTACCAGGCAGAGCGCGCATAAGTCACTCCTGTTATTATTTGATTTTTATCAGGTGGGAGGGGGAGGCGAAGGGGCTGTTACGGGGTTTGTTGTTGTTGTTGGGTTATTTCAGTGAGTGTAAAAGATAGTTTTATGAAAATGTTAACATAGTCCCGCAGGCTCCTCACCCGTCACTGCCTCGTTCGCCCGCCAGAGGACGGTGCAGTGGACTGCCCTTGGTTTGTTTGCTGAGCTTTCATTCATTTAAAGGCCATTCAGAGTCATCCCAGCCTGAACGGAAAAGAGAGCTGCTCATCACGAGGATGATGAGATTTATCTTGTGAGTTGAAGGTCCCAGTGACCACGGTGTTGGAGTTGATCAGCTTAGATTCTTACTTTTAAGATACTCATTGAGGGACGGATGGAAGTGTACATGTACATCCATAAAAAGATGGAAAAGTACAAATGCCAGCCAGATGGGACAGGCTTGCCTCAAGTCTGCTCTGGGGCAGTCGATGCCTCTCTTCCAGCACAGTGGGATATCAGTATGCTTGGTTGCAGGTTGGCAGTTGGTTCTCCAAGACATTAGGCTTGTGTGTGTAAACTAACTCACTTCTCACACCGTGCATTCACCTGTCTCAAGTGGGCATTGGGAGCTGCCTCTCAGCGTACAGGAGCTGGACACTGAGTTGATAAATCTTGTCTTAGCTCCAAAGGGACCACATCCACAGGCTCTCAACTCCTTAAAAAACCCCAATAAAAACGCTTGGCCCTGCTAACCAGCTGCTATTAGCATTAAGGTGGTTTCCCAGCCCTGAGCTAGTGAAAGCTGCAGTGCAGCCGTAACCCCTGTGCTTTCCCCTACCTTGTTCTGAAAAGCAAATGAGCTCTCAGGTAATTTGCAGTCCTGCTCAGGCAAGGAGGGCTGCAGGACCTCAGTTCGACCGGCACCAGCCTTCTCCAGCACTATCGTAATCAATATTCATTAGCTGAAGTCTACTGGACTTGGAGATTTACTGCTATTAATAAGCCAGGAGTCTATCTTAGTGAAGTGTATGAAGGAACCTTTAGGTCTGTTAATAAAAAGAAGAGCTTTTCTGCACTTTCTTAGCCCTGTTCCTGGGTAGAGCCAAAAGAGCAACTTCTCTTCAGAGCTGGTGAAAGGCACCTGCAGCTGGGTTAGGGTATGGCCGGCGTCAAAGGTCTGTCTTGGTCTCCCGTGATTTTCTAAGCTGCCATCCTGCATGCACATGAGAGGAGCAAAACTTGAGCTGTTTGGGAACATGACCTGCTCAGCAGCAAGCCTGAGCTCTCTGCTGCCTTGCTTGGGGTACCTGGAGCACTGTCAGTCAGGCATAACTCCCCCCTGGAACTGGGGGAGCTCACCCTGTGTTTCACAGCTGGAGAATATCGGCCAGCAGCAACCACTGGTTCCTCACCGGCTATAGGGCCAACCTTCCTCTTCCTGAGAAATAAATCCCGACAACCAGGATGCCCTGGCTGTTAGTACATGCTCAGAGGATACATCAGCTCCATCCTAACAGAGTTAAAACCTGCAGACTCCATGGCCTGCTGGTGTCCCCATTTTGTTGATAAACGAACGGAGCAAACCTTATCAAAACGAGCAGGCTGCAGTCCTGCTAACAGAGCTCCGCCTGGGCTAAAGATAATTGATGCTTTAATAAAGCTAGGCATTATCCAGATTGTGGCTGGAGTGCTTATGTGAGGAGAAGCATCAATCACAGATGGCTGTGTTTAACTTTTATCAAATATTTAGGTTGGTGGCAAGGTGCATTCTTGTGCTGCTCTAGTGTTGGGCTCTGAGATATGAAGTGAATGAATCATCACATCCCTTTTGCCTACATCAGTTTCCCGCAGATTGGGAGAGCGAGGATTTACATTTTAGTTATCTCGACTGGAGACGGGAGATACCACGTGCTGTGGTACTGGAAACAGGCTTGATGACCAAGAACTGCCGTTCTCAAGGCCTTCAGACTCGTCGGCTGGTGAAGAGACAGGTCTGCTGGATGTGTGGCTCTGCCCACATAAGGGCCTCCTGCAACCCGGGCAAGGTTGAGTAAATCTTGAGAGAAGGTGGAGGTGGAATTTGCTGCTCCGTCATGCAAGTAGACTCGTGGGGATGGGAAGGCGAGGGTGAGGGATGCTGGCAGTAAATGAAGCCCCACCACCACGCCTGCCCTGCGCAGGCAGCAGGGATGCAGCTGCTGGTTACCCAGCCTGTGCCACGGGGCTCTGCCGTATTGCT